TAGACAGTACCTTGGCTCTGATACCAATTGTTGCGGAAGCCAAATGTATATAGTGTGAATAAGTCACAACTACTATACCAAAAAATATGACAGCCACCAAATAATAAATAAGACAATAAAGCAACAATAAAGGGAACACCAGAATTTACGAGGTTCGACTAATTTTGCCTACTCCTCGGACATAACCAATATTTTATCACTCCAAAAATACAAGTGAAATTATACTAAAGAGAGAAGATACAAATGCCTTAAACAGATGAGAAGGCAAATGAGAGGTGTATTTAAATCCTAAACATTAGGCTTTCTTTTATAGGGGAAAAATCCCCCCAAAATTCAAGAGCCCACCGATGTGGGACAAATTTGCCAAACTTCAACAGCACCTCATATCAAATATAACTATTTATTGTATTGGGCACGGATGCAGGATCTGGAAACTGATTCTGATGATGAGTACCTGAAATTACTCAGCGCAGCAATAGAATGCTTGAAAACCCCAGAGAAATACTTTGAGAAAGTTCTTCGGTTGGGTATCAAGGGTACAGGCACAGATGAATGGGACCTTACTAGAGTTGTTACTACTCGGGCTGAAGTTGACATGGAACGTATCAAAGAAGAGTACCAGAAGAGGAACAGTGTTCCGTTGGACCGTGCAATTGCTGGAGACACTTCAGGAGACTATGAAAGGATGCTTCTGGCTTTGATTGGGCATGGAGATGCTTGAATGGAAAATGTTTTCTAAGATTGGATAAGAAACTATTTCCTAATGTCTGAAGTTTGAATTTGTTTGAATGATGTGTGGTATGTATGCCCAGAGTTTGGTTTGCATTATATGGACTTAAATAATCCAGGTGCTGTGTTTTGTTTTTTTCTTAACTTGTCATGGTTCTTTATATTTGGACTTCCGCAACCAGTGATGTTATTGTTCATCATCTAGGTCAGCATGCCAAACTACCAATTATTTTTTCCAATCAACTAACTGAGCTTCCCAAAAGTGGTTGGAATATTGCCCAAACAAATCTTGACTATCAACCTACCACAACTCCCTTCTTCATGTTAGGGTTTGTAGTAATTGTTGTGCATCATGAAACTCACTAAACAAACTTAATCACACTACTAGTTATGAGTGACTTCAAACCTCTTCTCAAGAAACCCAATGAGAACTGGATTTGTAGGTAGCCTTTTCATTTTGTAGTTAAGTGTTTTCCTTTTCAAGAGAATCAACTAATAATCTCAATAACAAGAACAAACCCAGTGTAATCTCACATAGTGGGATTTGGGGAGGATAGAATGTACGCAAACCTTATCCTTACCTTGTGGAGTAGAGATGTTGTTTTCGAAAGACCCCCCTGGTTCAAATAACTAGTAACAACAGCAAGATAGGTGATATGGTGATAAAATAAACGAAGCAAATGAACCAACATATAGTAAAAGAAATCTGCAGATAAAAGATACAGACATACAAGAGTAATACTAATGCAATCAACTAATAATCTCATATATTCAATATATTTCCAAGGTGGTCACAAGAAGAATAACGTATGTTTGGAAAAGCAATGTGTGGCAGCCTCATAAGGATATGGAAAAGTAAACCTAACTGATCAAGCCCGTTAGGACCAAGTTTATGGGCTAGGTGCTTTCTGGATTCACTAAAATCTACAACAAACACAACAGATTAATGCAAGCATAAAGAGCAAAATCTGTGAAAATACCCTGTTAAATCCTCCAAATTAATTTAAATTAGAGTTTGGAAGTTGTTCGTACAACATGGTTAACACATCAATGTGTACAACCCTCAGTCCTAATTCCACCAAACACTAAAAGCATCACTAGTCAGTAGCTGAAATGTTGCAGGAACACTACAAGTTAACATCATCTAAACTAGTGCAATGCTGCTCTCTCCACCTGGTGGTTTGCGCACGCCACCAAAGTAATCTCTGGATTCAACTTTGCCATCAGAAAAAATATCATTGCCATTCATTTCTCTCAGCTTTGCTCTGCTCAGTGGCTTTTCTGCAGATCCAGGAGGGACATCTCCCTTGAAAATGTCATTGCCAGTCAACTCCGCAAACTTCTGGTCATGTATTTTCTTTACTGTGTTGACAACAGGTTCATCACCAAACAAGATATTGCTTTGACCACCAGCAGGCTACAGAATAGCACAGCCACATGAGAGCCCATAACAGCTAATAAGCCAAAATAAGGAGTAAAACCAATTTTGGAAAAGAAAAAAAATATTCTCAAGAAAATACAGTTGTGTAGACATTGAGGAAGTACAAAAAAATTAGTTGTTAGATAGATTTCTTCCAGTTCCATGGTAAACTGAACAGCACCTTACTGGACTACTATTCTTTCGCCTTCAACTTTCAATCTGCCTGAGGCTTTAAATTTACATCCTTTTACATATTTTATGCCAGTTTCCAGTAAATTACCAAATATATACTTGATTGCAATCTTTTTTCAAGTTGAAATACAATTGAGTCACTTCATTGGGTTTCTCCTAACACCTACTCATATATCACCATATTGAATATCCTGGCTTCATTTGAGTAAACAGATAGTTCAAGGGACTGCATAAACACACTTCTTTTTGGTCTGGAGGGCGGAGGGGTCGAAGAGGTGTTAAGTGAAAAGTGAAGACTGTGGACAGAAATTGGAAAAGAAAACAAGTCTAATACACAACTCACATTAGAAACCTTGACAGACGTGCGTACAGCTCGTGGAGCAGGTTCACCCATGTCTTTGCTTTCTTTTGACTCCATGGATCGGGCAGCAGCCAAAGATCTCAGAGGAATTTCCGCAGGAGGGCCGAAGATGTCATTGCCACTGAGTTCCTTGCTCTTTGCATTTGACAGCTGCTTCTTCACTTTGCTATCTGACTCACTTTCTAGTGTTCCACTCAACTCTCTCTGCTTTGCCACTTCTGTCAGAGTGCTAGGTTTCTTGGGAGAGATCCTTTCTTCAGTACTGAATGAAATCTGGCTTATCCCGTTTGCAGCTTGCTACAATGAAATACAAAACCTTAGACGAAGTTGCCATATACCAGATTATTTTGTAGCATGCTCAAATTGTTAGCAACGTAAGAACACAATTTAATCCCAAAGAAGAAAATAGTACCTGCACAATGCGGACAGATGTACGGTTGTTAAAGTTACCATTAACAGCTCCCGATTCTGAGGCATCATCTTCACCATCAGCATAAAAAATATTGCTACCACTCATCTCCTTTAGTTTATACCCTGAACAAGGTTTCCTGAAGCCAGCATGTTTCAAGCAGGGTTAGGACCAGAGTACTTTTACTTAGAGGCAATTAAGGTCACTGGACTCTTCATTTCTTGTCCAAACGTTGGAACCTCTTGATTCAATGAAACTATTAGTTATAACCCAAAAATATATACCAGATCCCCATGTAGGATTTTGATTCCACTAGTTGCAAATGGTGGAGAGAGAAAAAACTCTCAACTTTATGTGTATTTTGACAGAGAAGCTTCACTGAACTTGGACGCTTTTCATTTTTACATCAACTAAATTAGGTTCCCAGCCTAAAAGCAAGCATGTATTGCATAGAGCCGATCTCATACGGTTCTTATGGCTGCAAATTTCAATGTGACCAAACAAGAAAATAGTCATCACTTTAAGAAGTTAATGGGATGACTTCCATTGACCCAAACTCAAGAAGGACTTAAGTGACCAAAGAAAAGAAGGCATGAAGAAAAGCCTTCGATTCCACAGCTAAGGCATCCACCCAATACAGAGAGAACATCATGTAGAATTGTAAAACACTTATTTCTCTCATCGACTACCTTCATGACAATGCCCCCTCTACCATTGATCTCTGGTGCTAAATCATGGTCAGTAAGAAACCAAAGGAAGGACATGAGATCAGGATACCATCCTACTAATAATATTAGTAGTGGCCATGAAACTCTTAGATATCACAAATTCCAAGGATTGTTGAGTCTCCCTAAGGAATGTTTATCCAAAACTAGCGAAGAATATTATTTGGAATTGGTGTGTGGAAGAGAATGAAAATGAGCATGACCGGCTTCAAGCAGCTTAGAAAAAGAGTCAATCAGATTTGAAATAAAAAATTTAAGATGCACTTATCATCAAGAAATATTTTCATTTTATCTGTAATGATATCAAGGACAATTTGCTCTGGTTGTCAATCATAGGTTCTGATTATCCTTAAATAGAAGTATAGAACCAAGAACTGTTGAGTTTTTAAAGCTTATTTTAGCTTAAAAGAGGGTGAATGGGAAATGGAGGGAAAATGAAATATTGAGTTTCCCTCCATTGTCCCATAGTGGAGGAGGAAAAGACTTTTGATGGGTATATATACAATTGCTCTTCTTTTAGCATTTAAAGAGTTAAGAAGAAGGCAAGCCTTGTGCCCCATCGTCGTCGCTCGGCTTCGGCTTCTGGATTTGGTCAAATGATTGATTGATTAATTTTTTGGACCAAATTTATTTGTTAATAGTAAATATTAACGTAATATTATTAAATATCCGTTTTTGTAACGAATTAATATTAAATCCAAATTATCCGTTTTTTGTAACGGAAAATAAAGTTTCCTCTGCCTGTTTTAATTTGCGTAAATGGCCATTTACGTTATGGCCGTTTTACGTGAACAGTCATAACTGACCGCTGAAGAGTTGCACCTCTTCATTTTGAACTCAACATGTTGGCTATAAATAGCTGTCCATTCTCTCAAATTTTCCATACGAAATTCTGAATTCTCCTCCTTTCTTCTGCATTGTTTTAACTACAAAGAAAGCAACAGTAAATGTGACTTGCTATCGATCATTGTGTTCGCGGAAACACTGGGGTTTGAAGTACAGCTACACCAGTGTGCAATTTGTTCTATTCTGGGAGGAAATAATCCACAACCTCGGATACTAGGAGGGGATTAAGTTCCTTAAGGAAACACTGTAAATTCAGTGAGTTCGAATTAAATTCTGTTTCTTTTACATTTCTGTTTACACGTTATTTTATCTTCTCCAAAATTATTTTACAAATACAGTTTACTAACAAGAACTTGGTTGAAAAGAATATTAATCTCAACACTAGTGAGCAAAATCATTTAAGTTGATGCAATCGTTAATAGACTATGGATATCCTATCGATTTAATGAACATCAATAGAGCAGTAGATTGAAATGTCGAGAGATGCTGATCCTCTCAGAAACAAGGAACAAAAAAAATCACGGGACCTGCTTTGTCAACAGAATTTTCATAATAGTAGTTATAATATCAAGCAAAGTTTTTGCCGAAGCGAAGTACTGAATAGGGGACTCTCTGAGCTTTCCCTAACTCCTGATATGTGAAAAACCAGAATTACAAAAAATTTGAGGGCAAATATTAAAACATCCGAAATTTTAAAAAGAACCCTCATGCACCCACTTTTTTAGATTTTCAAATATTGATTCCCTTTCTTCTCTCCATCTTCTTCTTCTGTGTTTCAACTAACAAAAAAGTGTAAACTATTTTCTTACGTGTATGTGGCCCAATAAGATTAGGCCCATAATTAATATTTAATTAATGAGCAAATCTCATCCGTCGGACGTACCGGATTAAGTGAGAACCTCTATAAATTGGTCATCTCCCCACCCATTAGGGTTACCTTATTTTATTCTCTCTTCCATCTCTAAAGGCGGCGGTAACATAAAGTTAGGACAAGGGGCGAGAAATCAGTTTAGAATTAACGCTTCCGCTTCATGATGATGGCTCATGATTCAGGTATGTTTTTTATGACGATTACTTGTAAGATTATCATGTTCAAAATCCTGGTAGAATTATAGTTTATGCTTACAAAAAGCACCCAACAAACACTTGCTAGAACTAAAAACAAGAAGACACGTAACAAGCTCATTTGGCCACTTTATCACGCCAGTAAACCAGAACCCCGAGCAGCCCAACAAGGAAGGGCAACAGACTATAACAGGAATACTAAAAAGTGGAAAAGGCAAAAAAGAAAATGTATTACCAGATCTAAGAAATCATCGAAGCTTTGGAAAGAAAAGAGAAAATTCGGACATTTCAAGCAAAGATCTAAACTTTTTTAAATCGAAATCACAAGCATCACGAAAAAGCAGAAAAGCGAAAATTCGGACATTTCAAGTAAAGATCTAAACTTTTTGAAATCGAAATCACAAGCATCACGAAAAAGCACATAAGAAAACTCACTACATATATTTTTTTTAAACATAAAAATGCAAAAACAAAAATGACAATAAGAAAACACATTGAAATCACTTTATCCTCAGATGGCGTATATATTTACCGTTTGTTCAAGCTCTCAGCTTCCTCATCAGTGATTTGACCTCCAAACAGCGTCTTACTGATTCCGTCAGACGGCTAAAAAAACAAAAAGTAAGTAACAACAACAAACAAATCAATCACTAACGAATCATATGAGGAAATAACACAAATGTGAAATGACGATGTTCAACCTGATGAGAACGCGCGCCGGAGCGAGAGGCATTGCCGGAGGAGGCGGAGGAGTTGTTCGCTGGCGGAGCTTCCGACCAGGAGAGCAGATCGGCGGTATTGGTGTGGGGTTTCCGGACAGGTGTTGCTCTCTCCATTGTTTGAGTGTGTAAAGCTAAGCAGCTGAAAGAGCGTTGAGTGTTTTTGAAAATGCAAAGTCTTTGATTTATCCAATGAAGAAATTTGAATTTAAATTAATTTGAGGAAGTTTGCTAAGGTTACAGGTCAAGTGGATAGTTGGAAGCGTCACTGAGATTTGAATTTGCGGCATGTGGGACCCAAGTATGGCACGTGCATCGTAAAAGCTGCTGAATAACTTATTCCAATCAGTGAGACAGTGTGTAAGTAATATGCACCGGACCCAACTAATATGTTATTAGAGGTCATTTAATTTGGTAAATTAATCTTTATTCCTAGCATAAGATATTACTACTGCTTTAATTTGATTGAAGGATTAATGAAAAATTACTACATAACTATTACAACATTTAATTTGTTATATAAAATATTAAATTCCTCATACTTGATGCAGTGTTTGGTTTGCGGTATTGATAAAATGGACATAGTAAATTTAATTATTATATATTATCAATGTTGCATAACATTTCACACATTTTTATTCTTCTCCTAACAATTTAATTATTCATTATTATAATTTACTATATAAATAATCCCTATATTATGATTCTGTATAACTAATATATGAACCAAACGAATCTTAACTGTATGTCAAGCGACTTCTATGTAACTTTATTTATAGTCAATTATTATGTATTTTATTAATATTTAGTAGTTAATTATAATGAATTAATATAATTTACTTATGCAACAATTCAAATAATTTCTTTCGCAACCCATGTGATTCTAGGAGTTAACGTTAACATATCTAGAAAGTTTTTTGGTAACAGCTCTCACACCACATTATCACTTCAAATCGCAATAACTTGGTAACCACTAACAATTATTAATAATTAGATTAATTTATTTCTTTCACGATATTCAGACAAAGTTCATTGTTTATTTTAAATATACATATCCTTGTCAAGTTGTTGCGACCTTTAAAACGATAACATCTTTTAATTTGACTTTAGTTACTCAAGAAAGAAGAGTTACCTCAAAGGAATATCATTGAGAGTACGTAACATTATATATAAATGCATAACTTCTTCGAGGGCTGATTTTTTTAATGCATCAAACTTATAAAAATTCTTTTTGATAAAAAATAGTAGTGAGACTTGATCTTAAGACCTTTTTCTACTCTGCCATCATTTTAAAGTTATGATTATCTTATCTAAAAACTTAATCTTTTAAAAGATTATATTTTTATTTATTTAATTATATTTTTTTATAATTTGTAATCCATCTGAAAGATTAAAATTTAGTATCTTAACACGATAGGATTGGTTAAAATAAAAATTTGGGTTGGGATTTCTGTTGAGATCAAGAAAAAACGTGAAAATAGCACGGGCTAGTTAGTTTTCAGACTGATAATTAAAAAATAGCCAGCATTTGTAAAGTCATTCAAAAATAGCAACTATTTTGCCGCAACACGAAAAGTTCTAGCATAATATACTGGAGATTGGTGTACCTGTGTATGAACTTCCAGCATATTATGCTGGAACCCAACACACGGAAAGTTCCAGCATAATATACTGGAGAGTGGAGCAACAATGTATAAGCTTCCAGCATATTATGCTGGACCACTAGAAGTCCAGTATAATTATATTTGAACTCCAGTATAATATACTGGAAGTTCAGTATATTATATTGGAACTTCAGTATATTATACTGGAATATTTTTTGAATTTTGAACAATGTTTTCGTTCAGATTTATCTTTACATGAAAAGTGGCTAAAATTCAATTACTTTTGATACTGTGGCTATTTTTCAATTACCACTTGTAGATCTAGCTATTTTTAATTTCTCCCAAAAAAAAGGTCCCAAAATTGTAAGGCCAAATTTATTTCGAAAAGCAAATAGTGTTAAAAATATTAATATTAGTATACTACAATGGTTTCGTCTAATTTCATTTAAAAGAAGTAAGTTAGGAGCCAACTATATGTTTCAGCTTAATTAGTTATGCTGGAATTAGTTATCCTAGTTAGGTTATATTAATTCTTAGTTGTCAATTTTAATGTTTTATCCTGAAATAACTTATACTGGAATTACTATTCCACCATCTAGCAGATATAAGTTATCTCAGAATAAAAGTAAAATTAACAATCGCAGGATTAATACTACATATCAAACAGTCAATAAGAAATAACTTAAGAATGAGCGGTACTAAATTTTTATCTGAGGATTATTTTTGCTTATCCATCATATCGAACGCTGCCTTAGTCTTCCCTTATTAGCATATTATTATATTCATCAGGATCGAAATTTTTAGCCTTTAAGTATAAATGAAAAGAATTACGAAAGGATTCGTGGGAAATGCTCCTCAAGTTGAACAATATATATTCCAAGGGCGGCTCTGCGGTAAGACAAGTGAAGTTCTTGCCTAACGCCATCAAATCTTTAAGGTCCAAAAAATATAGAGCATTACTATATTATCATATAATATACTCTAATTTATATTTCTATAATTATTAATAAGATTTTAAATTTAGTAGGCGTAGGATTAAGTGAGTTAATAGAATAAATTTTTCTCTTACTAAATTAAATAACATATTTACCTTCTTATCAATTTTATTTTCTTCCTTTATGTATAGTCTTTTTTCATGTTTCTCACGATTTTACTTTCTAATTAACTCAAATTCTCTAAATTAACTATTCCTTGTTGTCATATTTGATTGATCCACATACCATAAAGCAAGCTCTTTTGTGTCTTATCTTTTTTAACTTAGAAATCCATGAGACAAATGTCGCAAAGTTCAAAACATAATGGATAATGGGCTCACCCCTTTATTATTTTCACTTAAGGGGAGAATTCAATACCATATGACGTGCGCCTAACCGATACATCACGAGTTGCGCTCTCACCGCTAGATCAAAGTCATGTAAGTTTTTTTGTGTCTTAATATTATATGAGTTTTATAAAAGAAGTTTCAAGGTCTTTTTAATATATTTTAATTTTAGATCATCGGTTCTGTTGAGCCGCCCCTCATTGATAATCAACAATTATTTACAAACTACTGCTCCGCCATGAACGTACTGTTTAACCAACTTTATTCACATTGGTAGCTGAATGAAACACTTACTGCCTTTAATATTCTTGTCATTGTTGTCTTATCTTAATTGAGACTATATATTTGATTGAGAATGTCAGGGATGGACAAGTGGCTCTAGTAAGAGACTAGTAAAATCTTGATTTAGGTCCCCAAAATTTTTAATAATGAATTTTATAATTTTATTTCAAATTAGACAATATTAATGTTTGTAGAAAAAATAAAAAAGTACAAAAAATTTGTTAAAAAGAAAGAAAGTTGTCTACTCTTAATAGTAAAAATATTTTTAAAACTTTGAATTAAACTACTTAAATCTTCATATTAGTAAATACATCTTTTACAACAATATCAAAGGTAACATATTGCAAATACATCTCTAATGTCTCATTTATTTAAATTATTTTTTTCTAATATAAATAATAATATTACTATGTGAAGATAAAGACTTATGTCATTTAAGAATATATATATTATAAATAACAAGTATGAAAAATAAGGGCAAGACTAATTCTTTGCATATATGTGTATACGTACTAATAAAAAAGTATAAGATCTCATATTAAAATTTAGCTTTAGGTCACTAATTTTATGGAGCATCCCTTGATATATTCTTACGGTAAGTATGATTTATGGAGTTCTTATTCTTGTTTTCGTACGCCTTTTTTTTCTTTTCCACCAGGAAGAGATTTTGGATGGTAAGATGTGAAATGTTTAATTTTCAAGAACGTAAAGAAAACAAATAAAACATTGATTTAAAACAAACTTTAGGACCAAAATTAGCGATAAAACAGAAAACACCTAGTGCATATTAATTTGTTCAAGAATATGGATCAGTGGATTTGAAAATTTTATGACCCTTTCTCAGTGTAATTAAACTATAGCTAGTTTACGTTGTTCAAACTAAACGTCGTAAGATACATTCAATCATGATGTCCACTAGGAAACAAAGCAGATCGAATGGTATATTTCAATATTTTGGTTGTAGATCATCATTGCAATTCAAGTGGTAAAAGGTAAAATAAAAATTGAAGAGATTTGGCAACCAAAAGTAAAGTTAAAACGATTATATTTGTCCTTGTAATCATTACTAAAAGATCGCAATGCATAGGGATAATATACATTTAAACTTGGACGACTTAAATTGAATGAGTCAATATGAAAAAATAAGTAAGGTCATCTAAAACTTGGATCAATTTTTGCTTCGTAACGAGAGGCGAGGCTAGATTTTGAAGTTTATGAGTTCTAAGTTACCGTCAAACCTATAGCTTATTATAATCACTGAGTTCACAGTTGAATATTTACATATATATAATGAATTTTCTAATATAAATATTAGGACTAAGCAAAAGCTACTGAGTTCATCCGAAACCCATAATTTATACTCTACCCCGCCCCTGTGCATAACTTGTCAAACATAGAAAAAAAAAAAATTTGTGTTTGATTTGATACATAGAACCATGGCAAAGAAGGAAAAACTTTTTATATTTGGGTTGGAAAATTGTAAATTATTAAAAACAAACAAGCGGATTGCGAAAAGGCTATATAGAGTTAAGTTACGACACATTATTTATCCAAATTTTTTCCAAATAAATTTTGATGTACTATGACCCGATCACTTGTTATTTCAACCTGTTTAAACCAACTCAAATTTGGTATATTTGACACCCTTATTTGTATGTGCAATGAGAGGAGGATGAGACCATTAATTAGTAGTCTATACTTTCAAAAGTATCTTGTTTGGGGAAGGCTAGCCTTTTCTATCAAGCGTTTTGGTATTGGATCCGTGGCGCTCCTGTTAACATAAATATAAATTAGATTCTATTCTAATTCTTTATTCTTAAGAGAATCCCTCACCCGAATCATTCTTAAGACAACCAAGCTCTCTCGAATGAATTCTACTCTTTCTGCTTTCGAGCTACACCGGAGGCAAAATCTTTTTCCCACTACTCGTTTCTTTCACAATCCTTTTTCGTAGCAAAAGTATTTACGAGTTCTCCAG